TTTGTCGTGTTCCTTCAATGTCCTGGAAATCCCCTCGAGGAGCACTGTACGCAACCTACCGATAACGTATTCAATGTGGATGTCAGCACCGAAATGCTGGTCTTGTGTTACGACCGCCCGACCTTGGTCGAGTGGTACGCCATACACGACAATCGCATCAGAACTTTCGATCTTGCCACGTGGTCCCCCGAAAGAGGTTTGATTTTGAAGACGCAAAAGAACATCTATGCCAGGAGGAGCGATATGTTCGGCGAAGTTGTACGCGTGACGTCCGTGAAAGTAAGTTTTTGTTCTTTCTCAAACTTCATCGTGCGCCATACTGACGGTTGTGATTAGCGATAAAAAAGGTCGTGAGCGACGACCATTATTCGTAAAAAGTAATTGCGTTGAAAAAAAGACGCTTGAAAATCGATTTTATAATTTGCCACAAAATTGATATTAGAATTTAAGAATGTTCAACAAACTCGTGAATTGACAATTCTGTTGATAAATGTTCTCAGAATTCGCCGTTAATCTCACTGGAGAACGGTCAGGTCAGCGGGTTTTTGGGTCTAGTACTAATAGAGCTCAGTAAAGCGATGAACTTCACGATAAAGATTTTGGATCCAGTGAAAGAATTCGGTAGCTGGAACGAGCAGCAGAAAATTTGGTCAGGTGCGATTGGCCAGTTGGTGTCGAATAAAGCCGACATCGGCGTTTCTGTATTTATGATGACGACCAGCAGACAAAACGTCGTCGACTTTACGATGCCATTGATACGCTCACGATATCGCCTCTATTTCAAAGCACCCGACATTGCCTACATGCAATGGAACTCATACTTCAAGGTACAATAATAATTAAGGTAAATATACCGTTGAAGGGAGGCTGCTCCAATGATTTTTACATATCTTACCAAGGTCTTGACCCCAAGTGACCTTCAGGTGGTTTTAGCTGTCGCTCGTTATTTGTTAGAAAGTTATTAACAAAATATATGTGGAAGTATGTGTGGACGGAATAGGCATAAATATAACTATAATACTTAAAAAGTATAAAAAACTAAATACTTTATTCAATACTATTATTAATAAGATATATTTGTCTCATTATTTGAAAGAATGCATCAACTTTTTTTCAAAAAATAAATTCTTTTAATATAAACTCAGCGAAATAATGTTTATAATGTTTTGGATTAGTTCCATAACAAAGAATTGCACCATGCATATCATGCCATACTCTTTCAATATTTTGAGTATGACAACCATTTGTAGGATTATCAAAATTCTCAGAATGATTTACAATGCAATGAATGTAATTATGTTGACTTATTGAAGAGTATTAAATCGTTGCTTTTCTAAATAAATGGGTCTACAATATACCAAAAATAATAGATACCGAAAAGATTAGACAGACTCTTACGCAAGGTAGAAAGTATATTAAATTGAATATCTATTAAATCTTCGCCTTCCTAAATAGATGAGTCTACAATATACCAAAAATAATAGAAACTGAAAAGATTAGACAGACTCCTACACAAGATAGAAAGTATATTAAATTGAATATTTATTAAATCTTTGCCTATTAAAAGTAGGAGCATTAAAGCACGTATTTTTTGTTTCTACAATAGATATTAACTATATGATAGGCGGGGGGAGAGCTCCGCCCCTTCCCTCTGCACCCCCCCCC